CCCCTGTTCCCTCCCAAGTTTCTTCCTCTTCTGCCACCTCCCAGGTTTCTGCCTCTTCTGTCCCCTTCCACGCTTCTTCTCCAGTTCCCTCCACCCTTTTGCCCCCCCCCTACCTTGGTACAGTCCATTACAGTTCCAATCTTTACTCATCCTCCCCCTACCATCTCCAATATTGTCTCCCATACGACGTCTCTGAATTCCGAAACACTTGAAGCAATCTCTGAATATATTGCAGAGACCAAACCATCAATGGACACTGATCCACCCTCTGTTCCTTCTCTCTCCTCTCCTCCATCTGCGCAACTCCTTTCTTCACAGTGCACCGTTCCTTCGCTGCTTGAAAGTTTACCGCTGCCTCCGCATGTGGACTTTTCTAACCCCTCTAGTCCGTAGGAACCCTTACCTGCAGATTTCAAGTATCTTTATCATTGCCAATCATGGCCTATTTACAGTGGAATATACGCGGCCTCAGGGGTAATCGGGGTGAGCTTCAGATGTTACTCTCCCAGTTTTCCCCTGTTGGTGTTTGCTTAAAGGAACCAAAATTACACTCTGCTGTTATCTCTCCCATCTCAGGCTATAATTTATTGTATTCTTCAGATCCTTTTCCTGATAGGACCTTTAATGAAAGTGTCCTTCTTCTATGCACTGATATTCCGTACCATCAGCTATTTGTTCGTACTTCGCTGCATTACACAGCAGCCCGTATCCACTTGCATAGGTGGTATACGCTCTGTTCTTTATATCTCTCTCCTTCTCGGGCATTATCTATTCTGGATATTGCCTTTCTTGTTTCGTCATTGCCACCACCGATTCTGTTCCTTGACGATTTTAATGCCCATCATTTCCTGGGGGGGGGGGTCTCACTGTGATTCCCGTGGCATTCAGTTAAGAGGCTTTTCTTGCCACCCACCCCTCCATGTTTTAAATACAGGTACTCACACCCATTTTGAACCTCGGACTCACACTCTCTCTTGCATCGATCTCTCAGTCTGCTCTTCCTCCGCCACATTAGACTTCACCTGGTCTGTTCTCCCGGATTTACATGACAGCGATCATTTCCCAATCATTCTTACTTCCCCTTCATATTCACCACCTCTTCGTATCCCACGCTGGCAATTTGATCAGGCAAATTGGAACCTTTACTCACAACTAACTGTTTTTAGTGAGGTTCCTTCTTCGTCCTCCATTGATGAGCTTTTACACCTCTTCTCGTCCTCCGTTTTAACCGCAGCTTCTCATTCTATACCCCAAACTTCAGGCGGGCATTCTCAGAAATGCATGTCTTGGTGGTCTCCTGCTTGTGCTCGTGCAGTACGTTTGATATGCGCTGCATGGGGCAGGTACCGGTACAATAGAACCACGGAGAGACTTCTTGATTTTAAGCAGAAGTGCGCGATCGCTCGTCGTGTCATCCGTGACGCTAAACGCACTTGCTGGCGAGATTGTCTCCACCATCACCTCTGCTTCCTCTATGAGTGCAGTCTGGAAAAAAGTACGAAAACTGAGTGGTAAATATTCTCCTGACCCGGCTCCTGTTCTGCAGGTTGCCGGTGTTAATATAGCAAACCCACTAGATGTTGCCAATGAAATTGGCAATCATCTGGTTCGTATTTCTCAGGGGCTCCATCTATGCCCCTCATTTCTTTCCTCAAAGTCTGCCAGAGAGTTAGCACCCTTGGACTTTCCTTCTCTCAGAGAAGAACAGTATAATGTGCCTTTTACACTTCAAGAACTGGAGGCAACACTCTCAGCTTGCCGATCATTGGCAGCTGGGCCTGACAACATATTCGTATGCTACAACATTTACATCAGTCAGCCCTTGCAGTCCTATTACGCCTTTTCAATCTTATTTGGTCACAAGGAGTTCTTCCACAGCTGTGGAAATCTGCCATTGTTCTCCCTTTCTGCAAACCAGGCACTACGGGACATGAAGCCTCCCACTATCGTCCCCATTTGCTCTACCAGTGTATTTGCAAAGTTTTGGAACGCCTGGTAAACAGCGTTTTTGTGTGGTATTTAGAGACCACAACAGTCTCTCCACTCGTCAATATGGCTTTCGTTAAGGGACGTTCTACCATAGACCCCCTTACTACGCTTGGATATGTATGTTTGTAATGCCTTTGCGAAATAACCACTCAGTTTTTGCCATATTTTTTGACCTTGAGAAGGCATATGACAACTTGGAGGTATAATATTTTGGGCCCCAAACCCACTCCTTAGCCTCCGAGGCAAATTTTACCATCCTTCCTTAAGAACTTTTTAAATGATAGACATTTCCGTGTTCGGGTTAATAATGTGCTCTCCCCGGACTTTATCCAAGCTGAAGGTGTCCCCCAGGGATGTGTTCTGAGACAAACACTTTTTTCCTTGCTATTAATGATTTGGCCTCTAGTTTTTCCATCAAATATTTGGTCATCACTCTATGTTGATGACTTCGCTATTGCTTGTGGAGGCGCTGACTGTCACCTCATTACAGTTTCTCTCCAACATGCGGTCGACTTGTTTTCCCAAATTGGGGGCCCCCACAAGGGGGTTTAAATTTTCCACACAAAACCCCCCAAAAATTACTTTCACTAGACACCTGTCATCTCCGATCACCTTTTGTATTTCTTGGCTCCCGACCCCTGAAGTGTTTACAGCAAGTTTCTGGACCTCCTCTTTGACCATAGGTTATCCTGGAAACCTCACTTCCCTCTCTGAAGGCAACTTGTCACAGCCGCTAAAACCTTCTTAAAACCCCTTGTCTCTTTCATGGGGATTTTTAATAATAAAAAAGAACGCAAAGCCACGGGGGCTTCCCCCGCCTGGGAGCTAATCGTCGAACCCTCCTTCGCCTACATTTCCACCCTTTTTATCGAAAAATTGATTATGGTGACCAATCTATTCCGGCTCTCCGCTACTCTCCTAGCCTTAACCCCCTTCATCACAAAGGGTTCGTTTTGCTTGGTGCTTTTCGCCTTCCCCTGTTGGAGCCTCTTCAGAAGCGAAAATTCCATATTTTCTGTCGCCGTGATGCCCATTGCCTTCGCTACTATGTACGCTTCATGAATTTAGCAATCCTTCCATTTTTGAATGGTCACTGATATTAGTAGACTTCTTTATTTGTTCGCCGACCCGTTTACTCCGTCCCTTCTCTCTTCGCCTTTCATTCGCTCGTCTTCTCTTCAATTACCCCCTTTTCTATGTTCAGTAGCATCTCACTTTCCCAAACCCCCTGGGAAGTTCCAGCTGTTCGAGTCAGTCTGTTTCTTCTCTCTCCCTTGCTCGAAAGCCCAACTCTCTATGGTCGCTTCCCACTCTCTTTTTCTGACCGCTTCCACTCTCATTCTCATGCCATTGCTGTGTACACAGATGGCTCTGAGTCTTTGATGGCTTTAGGATTCGCAGCGTGTTTCCGGACAGCGTCCGGAAACACTGCTGCGAAGTTTTTTTACTGCTGAATTGTATGCGGCTAGTTTTTTTACTGCTGAATTGTATGCCATCCTTGCAGCACTTATCCGTATTGCATCTATGCCTGTGCATCATTTGTGGTTGTCTCAGACTCCCTTAGCCTTTACAGGCTATACAGAAATTTGATACACCTCACCCCTTAGTCCCCGTATCCAACTTTGGCTATGCCGCATCTTTACCAAGCATAAAAAGATATTGTTTTTTGTTGGGTTCCTGGTCATGTTGACGTACAGGGCAATGAACAGGCAGACACTGCGCGCGGTCGGGCAGTACATGACCTACGAGTTTCATATAGAGGTATTCCATTTATGGACTATTTTGCTGCAATATCTTCCCCTTCACACCCGTTGGCAACAACGTTGGTCTACTATGCTCGGTAACAAACTTCAATCTATTAAACCGAGTATAGGTTACTGGCCATCTTCTTATAAACCAGTGTCGAGGTTGGGAGACTACTCTCTCCCGTCTTCGCATTGGCCATACCTCTTACTCACGGATAACTCATGGAGAGGCGCCCTGCTCTCTCTGTGAGAATTGCCAGGCCCCATTATCGGTCAGCCACATTCTGTTGGACGGCCCACTTTATCAACGAGCACGCAGAATTTACCTCCGTCGTCGTCTTCGCTCCGCTGCTCTCTTTACTTTCCCTTCTCACTGATGGACCTACCTTTCATCCGGACTCTCTCATTGACTTTTGACAACAACTGACTTATTTTCACAAATTCTGATACCTTCAGCTCTTTCTTACCTCAATCTCTTTCTACCCTCTACCCCCGTTGTTTTCTGTAACCTACTGATCATCTCTCCTCCCTTCTGCCGCCCAATACCCTCACTTCCTTCCCTACCCTGCAGCGCTGTATAGCCCTTGTGGCTTAGCGCTTCTTTTTGATTATAATAATAATAATATTGTCAGATGTATAAAGTACTACATGTTCAAACAAACCAGGCACACATTACAACCATCACCTAATGACAACTGCGCATTGACATCAGTACAAGAACCCCAGCCCGGTAGGACCACATCATCCCTCTCTATTCCTTTCAGAATCATAGGCATACACCAGCAACCAGGATTTATGGTGAGAAATATTATTTATGGGACATTTGTAGCTCTAAGTATTATATTAAATATTACATTGTTATATCCCACTACAATTTCATTATCATTATTTTGCAGTTACGAGACCTAAAAAAGAAAGAGGAACATAACCCTTTTATTCCAATATGTTCTTCATTTCATTTACACAGTTATTTAATTAAGACACCACTTTAAGGGACAATCTACCATCTGAATTGATGTATACTTCAAAATTTTCAGGACATTTTTTGGGGATTCATAGAAAGTTCAACTTAGAATCCAAGTTTTCTTGTATTACATTCATAAGTTTTTGCCTTGAAAATTCTCAATTTAGGGAACATTTTACAACATTCTCTCATATTTGGAGAATTCAGTATTAGAGATTTTTCCAGTTATAATTCAGAATTTTCCAGAATTTAGTTAATTCCTAATTTCCAAATAAGTAATTACATGCTTAACTTACTTGCAGGACCAGGTGTGGGGCATAGCATACAATATTGGTGAAGAAGATCAAGAGAAAGTGATGGCTCACCTTGATTATCGTGAGAAAGATGGTTATCACCGTAAAGCAGTGCTTTTTCACCCACAAGACAATTCCATTCAGCCATGGCACCTTACTCTCTACTTAGGTAAATTAACCCTTTGACTGTTTCAGTCGTATATATACGTCTTATGAGGTACCGTGTTTGACGTATATCTTTCTTTCTTTCAACACACCGGCCGTATCCCACCAAGGCAGGGTGGCCCAAAAGGAAAAACGAAAGCTTCTCCTTTTACATTAAGTAATATATACAGGAGAAGGGGTTACTAGCCCCTTGCTCCCAGCACTTTAGTCGCCTCGAGGCTTCAAATCAAGCAGGAGAAAGTTGGTAGGCCCACATGTGAGAGAATGGGTCTATGTGGTCACTGTGCACCATATAAAAAAAATCCTGGAGCACGCAGTGCATAATGAGAAAAAAAAAAACTCCAACTGTTTTTTTTTTTAATTAAAATGCCAACTTTGTGGTCTATTTTCATATAGTATTTATGGTTGTATTCTCATTTTTTGGTCTCATTTGATAGAATGGAAAGCATATTATAGAGCTAGAGTTGATTTTCATTGGTTTTGCTATAAAAAGAACCTGGAAATGGAGCTCAAAGCAGGGGAAATGTTTGATTTTTGCCGATGTTCAAAAGTAAACAAATGATGTCATTGTCCAATAAATGCCCAACTAGCCATTCTAATATGCAGATATGAATGTGTTGACATTATTTGTACAATTATAACACTATTGCAGTAGTCTGCATAACAGTAAATCTTCTATTTTTTTGTTTGAATAAAAATTCAAAATAGAAAGCAAGAGTAATATCAGAGGGGCCTGGAGATGTGACTGATGAACAAAGAAAATGTTATTTTAGAGCCAGGAATGTCTGCATTGTTCATTCTGGACCTTATTTTGGGAAATTGTCATATTTTTTAATTTTTGTGAAATTGGCCAAATTGCAAATTTCTGACCACGTTATTGGGTAGTTGAAATCAGTAAATGGGCAGTTTCTTGTATTCAATCAATAGAAAAAATGGAGTTCTAAAGAAATAGCTATGAGTTTGGTTGACTGGAACAAAGGAACTAGACGAAAATAGGGCTCAAAGTGGGCGAAATCGCCGATTTGTAAATATCGCTGAGGTCACTAACTTCGCGAGAGCATAATTCCATCAGTTTTCCATCAAATTTCGTTTTTTTTTTTTTTTTGGTGTCATTACAATCGGGAAAAGATTCTCTATCATTTCATAAGAAAAAAATATTTTTTTTCTTTTGAAATCTTGTGACACCAGGAGACACCTCAGGATTGGGGGTTTCATTTAAAATATAAAATGATGTATAAATATATGTAAAGAAGAATTGCGTTGAATAAGACACTTTAAAATTAATACTGTGTGGTATGAGTTCACTTCTTCATATACAGCACTATTGAAATTTTCAAATTATGAAATTAATGGTTTTTCATAATTTACCTTTAACCAAAAGTTAATGGGTTTTTCCCAAATGTCTAACCATATTTTCCATTTACATTTCTGTGTTTTAATAGGCTCGAGCACTCTCCATTAAAAGTAAAGAAATACCTATGATTTATGCTGGCACGTTTGTAAAATACATTATTTTTTTCTTGCAGGTGCAGATTCAAATCCCTTTATACAGGCCCAACAAATGAAAACACAATTGCTGAAATAATATCTTTAGCAGCTGGTCCAAGTGGTCCTAATTCAGAGTATCTATTCCAGTTAGCTGAAGCAATGAGAACTTTTGGGGTATCAGATTCTCATCTGTTTGATATAGAAGCAAAAGTTAAAAATATCTTGAGTGTAGTATAGTAAATGAAGCATTACAAATGAAAACTGCATTAAACAGTCAAGCAAGAGAATACTTTGCTCAGTATCTTTGCTTTTGGTATAGTACTGCTGTGCAATATAAAAAAAATATATATTTTGTTATAGTTGTAGAGTGGTAAATTTTATTTTTACATTACTTTTCTCATGAAAATGACAATAGTAATGGTTTTAGCATAGTTATGAACACATTTCATATTTTAATGTTTCAGATTATGTTATATCTTGCTCTTGCTGGCACTTTTGTAGAGTGTGAAAGTTTTGTCTTACATATGCAATTTATTATTTCTTAGTTTCAGTATACTCACTGAATAGTTGACTCAAGGATATTACCTCCAGCTGTCAGCAAGTTTACTGAACAAGAGTTTAGGCTTCATATAAGTTTAAGTATGAAAGTTACAATACTGCAGCTAGGGCAATTCACAAATAAACCACACTTTGGAAAGGTAACAGCATAATTTTTATTCATCCAGAACCAATATCAAGTCACAACTGAGTGACAAAATGGTAGAAAATCAGAAGACATGTTAAGATAAGATAAGATTTCGTTCGGATTTTTAACCCCGGAGGGTTAGCCACCCAGGATAACCCAAGAAAGTCAGTGCGTCATCGAGGACTGTCTAACTTATTTCCATTGGGGTCCTTAATCTTGTCCCCCAGGATGCGACCCACACCAGTCGACTAACACCCAGGTACCTATTTGCTGCTAGGTGAACAGGACAACAGGTGTAAGGAAACGTGTCGAAATGTTTCCACCTGCCGGGAATCGAACCCGGGCCCTCCGTGTATGAAGCGGGAGCTTTAGCCACCAGGCCACCGGGCCTGGTGAGTGAAATTATTTAAAGTGTTAGGAGAAAGATAAGGTGACAAAAAAAATAACCAGAAAGCAGATAAGGAGAATAGTAGTAGTAAGCTATGAGAGAAATTGTAATTTCTTATACTTATTAACTTCCTTATAGAATAAGCCTTACTTTTCTAGTATATTTTTGTCTTTTGTCTCTCCCTCCCCCCCCTCTCCTGACCTGTTTTCTGGTGGTCTTCCCATTTACTTTGTCTCAACTGTGACTTTAGGATGGACTAAAACATCCTCTAGTGTCAGATGCAAAGTGTGAGTTAGTTGTGAAGAGTTTAATGTTTGAGTACAGCCTCTCCTCATTTAGTGATGTACTCGTTTACCGACACCTGAGACTTACGATGGGCGCTCTCACCAGTATTCATACGTACATAATGTATATTAGAGCTGATTTCATCTATTCTATTTCAATATACAGTACACTACTGTATAAACATTTAGAAATATACCACAAATGTTATAAGTGGTGCAAAGGTGAAATTAAAACAAAATCAAAGATGGTTGACACAAACTCACTACCATTACAGTATGCTGTTCACTTAGCAACGAATTCGTTTAAAGCTGTGGTCTTAGGAACGCAACTCCATCGTTAAGTGAGGAAAGGCTGTATATAGAATGTTTTGTTCACTGAACATTTGTACTACCTCCTTTAAATTCATATAACTTATAAATTTTTATAATAAATTAAACTAATTTTGTGCAGACTGAAATCAGCATTATTACTTCCAAATTTCCATATTTTTTAGGGGAATTGCAAATATTTTAACTACCATATATATAAACTCGCATGGGAAAACTACACAATTTTTTCGTATCTTTCATTACCGAGGATGCCAGTGCAAAATGGAAGAAACAATTATTAATATATTCGCATTAGTATTATACACCCATATGGGTTATACAGCACAAAACAATTAGTAAATGTGACCAAAAATGAGGGAACTACAATACAAAAAATTCAGTACTGTAATACATTTCCCATAATTGATACAATGACTAGAACATTCCCAATGACATGAGGTTATTAAATAAGTTTCTAATTGATGGTTTAAATAAGTTTGCAATACACAAATTAATGGACCAGTAATGAAAACCCTTCCTAGGCTCAAAGTTGTCTTACATGATCAGTGGGGTAAAAACTGACTGGAAAGGATTATAAATATCATTTATAACTATGAAGATAATCCAGACAATACAACCAAAGGTTTA